TGAGTCAGTGAGTTAGGCTAATTCTGTTTTCCAGTGGCTCTAAGCTACTGGAAACATTTTGATTCTGGCATTATTAGTTTGTAATAGTAGAAACAAGATAGGACAGGCATTTAATTTTTGTGTACCATTTAAGAACATTCTAGATTATTCTTTTTCATTTACTGGACTATTCCTTTGTTGTATGGACTATTCTTTTCGTTTACTGGAACATTCTGGGCTAGAATGTTCCAGATTTGTACCTTGCTATAAATATGTGATTTTTGTAAATAGTTGGTTCCTTGCTTGGTAAAAACATAATATTAAACCACTTACTCCTGGTGAACACTGTTACATAGTTACCATATTACAGCTATAACAGATGCATGTACATGTAACTTGATAGTCGATATTAGAAATGAATAATTAATTTTACCTAGCCCCGCCCCACACATGCCCCGCCTCTAAAAACAGAACAATGAAGCGAGGCTAAAGATGAGAAGGTAAGCTTTTAGCTTTGAACTTTTAAGGATACGGTTAAATAACGCCCTAGTGACAGGCAACCATGACTGGGTAATGCCTTTAGCTCTAATAGGTTTTGGTTTGTTAGACTATGTTGACTATGATGTAATGTAGTCGGCCAACATGTGTCATCAACATTTTTATTTCATGTCAAGTTGGACTAATTCTGATGTTTTTATACAATATAGGATGAATATTAAATGATTCTTTGGATTTGGAGGTTACAAGAATGAAGACTTTGTCCCCCAAGAAGTTGTGTCTTGTTGGATTACTTTCAATCTTACTGATGTTGATAGTATTTATGGTAACTAAGCAACATGTATTATTAATGTATGGCGAAATTTTTGAGTACTACAGGGTCTTTGGTAAAATTTTATCTAAGAGAAGATTTTCACTTTCATCATTTTTTCCTGATACATGTACATGTACGTACAAGTTTTGAGCTGATTTTGATAAGATTTGATTTTTAACAAATTTTTAAGGCTTTCACATTATTTGGCCAGTGGTCCTGTACTATATAGTACAGGGCCATTGGCCAAATTTTGCCAAAAAAATGAAAAGGTGAGAACTATCCATTTTTATAATTTTATCTGATGCATATACATGTTTTTATGTTGCATAGTAAGTTTGAACTGGTTCCGATCAAAGTTGGATTTTTTTGTGAATTTTTAAAGTTACTCAAAATTTTTGCCAAAGTCCCTGTACAAATTGAAAAAGAGAGAATTCTTTATTTTTATAATTTTTTGATACATAATACGTGTACATGTCAATGTACTTACATGCATGTTGCATAGAAATTTTGAGCTGATTCCTAATTGAAATTGGATTTTTTAATGAATTTTCTTATAAAATTACCAAAATTTCACAAAACACCATGACAGAGCTACATTATTATATTGGAAGTTTAATTATTGCTTGAACTATTTTTTATTTTTTAGTCATTTCATAAAGACACTATCCAAATTGATTATTATAAAAGCCGACTATTAAAGAATCACAGCAGGGAGCCAATTACGGAGTACCCCATTAGCCCCACTAGTCTAACTGGGAATGAGGAGAAGCATGATGCCCATGTAAAGTTAAAAGAAAGACCGGATCCGAAAGTGACAGAAGAGCCTTCACAGCCCCTAAATGTAGGAACGGAAAAGAAGGAGCCATTAAAAAAACCAGTAAAAGTAAGAGAATTTTAGAAGGAGTTAAATTTGGTGAATTGCTAAATTTTGGTGATTGGCGGATTTTAATTTGGCAAATTTGTGGCCACGTGCCATTGAGCATGCGTATTATTGCTGAAAATGGTGGATTTTTAATTTTGGCGAATTACTATCAAAACGCCAATTTACCTAGTTTAATTCCCTCCAAAATTTCCCACTATACAGTATATATGTGTACAATGAATCACTGATTGTATTGTAGCCAGAAGCTTAATTTAAGGAAGTGATGCCATGTACTGGTACACAGACTGTCCTTAATGAAATTGTTAATTGTATTCGCATAGTGTGAATTGTTAATGAATGTGTCAAGTGGTGTTCTTTTATTATTATGGCTTCATAGATCTCTCAACACCTAAATCATAGCAGGAGTCTTGAATATAATGATAACTCAATTTCTTAGGTACATGTACCTGATGAGATTCATCCTAAAAGTCAAGCAGACTTGTGGATAAAGCTGTCTCCTTCAAACGTGGTATGAACACATAATTCTAATCCTTTATAGTACTGTATGACACTTACATTGTACATTGTAGATTAGAAGAGTGGGATATCTTGACAAAAGAAATTTGAATGACGTGAGGATCAACATCATCTTAATGCAAGACAAAAGACAAAGACCACTTCCCACAGTCTTTGTAAGACTGCACTACACTGATGCCAAGGAGCCACTATGCTTGTCGACTGAATTAGACCACAGTGCTATCGAAGAAGGACACGACAACTATGTCCTTTACTTGGTTCGTAGTCCTCAGCTTACTGAGGTCCAGAGAGAGCCTCTATCACACGTTACAGTATCAACTAAAGGAGACTGCAAAGATGAATCAATTCCCGTTGCTATCGAGACTGTTTTTGATCCAAAGGAATACAAGTATAAATTTGCAATGTGTCTACATAAATCTGTACGGCCGAACCTCGAGCCAAAGGTCCTGCTTGATTGGGTCAAATTGAATCTTGCACTCGGAACGGAATTCATGACAATTTTCTTGCAAGCTGGAGCAGAGAAAATCTACGAAGTTTTAGAGCCTTACGTCAAGAAAGGAGTCCTAGAAGTATTGGATTGGAAACTAGAGCCACCACTGATTGATAGTGTCTCGTATCACGACGGGCAGACTGGAGTAATAGCTGAGTGTATCTGGCGTAACATTAACAGCGTTAAATACCTTGGGATGAACGACGCCGACGAATTCTTTATACCACAGAAACACCATACCCTCCTTGAAATGATGGAAGAGCTAGACCGACCAATGTCTAAAAGATACGGCTCGTACTTATTCACTAACACACTCATGGTAGACAATGGGAGGCTCCTACCAATAGTAGAAAAAGCTTTATCGTCAAACAAATGCACCGGACTTGATCCAATGTCATTACCTGTGTATTTCAAACGTGGTAAGAGTTGTACTACTTATGCCGAAAAGATTATAATGGTGCCAAATGCTGCTTCTACTGCATGGCCTCATCACCTGTTCTCATATCGTGCAGATAAATATACCAAAGAACTCAGAGTCCCTGATAGTATTGGGAGGTCACAGCACTATCGGCCGACTTGGGATGGATATTTTCATAGGTGCTCACCTTCGCAGCTTTCGGATTCATTGAGTGCTGGGAATTATTTTTATAATGTGACTGGCTGTACTCCATGATACAAATATAATTATAATTTACATGTACATTTGTATTTTATTTTAGACAGTACAAAAATTATTTTAAAAATTTTAAAGGGTGATGAAGAGATTTTAGTAATCTTTTATCATAGAAGTAATAATACAACTATTAATTTAAACTACAGTGGAAGTGCGAGGTAAAATGGCGAGGCGCTGTCTCTCTCTCTCTCTCTCTCTCTCTCTCTCTCTCTCTCTCCTTCTTCTCTGGCTCTGCTGTAGTCGGATCACTAGTGGTGAGTTGTAAGACGTAGCTGCTTTGTTCCAGCTTAGATTGTGGTTGGACGAATAAGCTTGATTTACCTAGAAAATAATGATAATTTTAGTTATACATGTATATCTAGTAGAAAATACTTCTTTTTAGCTTTAGGGCATCCTCTCTATATGCATGCATTCTGTGCAAGAATGCTTTTGCTGAAATGTTGAACATTAAAAATGAGTAATTGCATTAATTTTTGGTAGGCTTTGTGGCTCAAAAACAATAAAATTTAATAATTATATAGATATTTAATATGCGTTTGTGTGTACATGTAAATGTACTAATACATAGATGTTACATTCTTTGTAGTACCGTATAGCGGGATTTATTGACGAAGGTTTTATTTTGACGAGTTGACGATTTAAAATAAAACGTCAAATTTAATAACTATCAAAAATTTTGTACTTTGTGCCACGTGTACGCAAAGGGCACTATTCATCAAATTAAAACTCGCCAACCGGAGAAATTTACTGTTTTTGTCAAATTTTTTACTCGTCAATTAATCCTGCTATACGATACATTATGAAGTAATGCTGTGTAAATTGCAATTTATAAAAGTGATGAGAGAGTGGTATTGTAGTTCTTTCTCATCCGGGATAGTCAGAGTCTATTACAATGGCTGGGGTTACATCTGTAATGATGCTTACTTTCATTATGTTGAGGCCGTTGTCATATGTCATCAGTTAGGATTTGATTCAGAGATTTCTTATTCTAC